CAATATACAAGTCGCTTCGGAAACTTCTATGTTTGGGATTTAAAAAATGCAATCTCTGTTTGGATTTGAGAAAGTTTAACCCAGGGGCTCAGAAAACACAGAACACAAAGTAATTATTCGTTTATAGTTTTATATAAGAAATGACCACATGATGTTTCTAAATTAACTTGATGCTGTTGGTTGTGTTATGGGGAATGGAAGACTATGTGTTTTTGGAGCTTGACCCGTATTAGAGACTAAAAACTCTTTATTTTAACCAGTCTTCCCCTTTGTTCGTCTTCCGTGAAATTCAGTACGAAATTGCTGCAGTGCCCCTTTAAGAACATACATTGCCAAGTGACCAGATTTATCTCTTTTTGTATGATTTTAATGAACCTTATATAATTGGCAGTTTAAACATGTCCTTCATGTGCAGGTGACTTTGATGCATTAACCAGCGGCGAACAGTACAGCATGTATCATGCGTTTTAAGAGGATCCGTCAGCCATAATGATATCATGGCTCTGTCGCCCTGGTGTCCTCTGCTTGTGCAAACATATTATAGTGAGGCAGTTTTCTGGGTCAGTAAGTTAAATATTTCAGATGGTTTATTTTTAGCACCGTCTGTTTCCACTTTGTGTGTGTGTGTGTGTGTGTGTGTGTGTGTGTGTGTGTGTGTGTGTGTGTGTGTGTGTGTGTGTGTGTGTGTGTGTGTGTGTGTGTGCATCTCTCTATCTGCAATAACTGCAGGCTGCATTTGACCCACTAAGTTATCTTCACATTCCCCCGGGGCTAATCAATTGAGTGTTGTGTGCAGAAGGGGGCCATTATAATTGCTTGCAACTGACTGTTAACACATGCAACAACATACAGGACATGTAGGGGCTGTTTTGACAATGGAAGTGCATTATTCCTTATTGTAATGTCAGTTTTACCCACAACCTATCAGTTAGGCTTCACTGTGTGCTTGTTTCAATTAAGCCATGTTTTAGCTGCTACGTTTACTGATCAATTAAAACCCTTAAAACACCATACAGTTCCTAAGGGAGACACCTGGGTATCAAAAGCCAATTACTTTATCTATTTTCCAACTTTATAAGGTTGCTTGCACCCATTCCTTTTCATGTGAACATGATGGTCGTGTGCAGTAGTTTGAATAGTCGTTGTGATGAAGCAATCGGAAAAACTAAATCACATTAGATCACTTGTACATGGCATTGAACTGTCTGGGTGCAAAGAGGGCACAGTAATTGCTGCAGAGATGAGTGGTCATTGAACTGTGAAAAGCAGACAAGTTTTCCACGGATTATGAGAAGCAGAATGATTGGAAACTGCCCAGGGGCAAAGGTCCCATGATAGTTTTTGACCTTACAACATATGTGGAATCAATGCAGGGCTCTGTTGTTGACCTTAGCCTTTCTCTGAAACACATACCGCTGCTCTGTTTCGTAAAAACAGCGCTGCAGTATCAATTCTCATCCTCTGCTTTGCTTCTCTCTTTTCTCTTATTTCAACTTTCCCAGGCTTTCTTCAGATTTTTTAGATTTGAGAATACAGTCCATCAAATATAGATTAAAATACATGTACTTATAGACTTTTATTCCTTCCAAAATTGGTCAATATGTATTTAAATTTGTTTTATTTGGTACCATTGTAAAGATGGCCGATTAAAAATTACTCACACAAGTCCTACTGTATGCAACAATTTGTTTTATAAAATGAGCAAGATGTCTTAGAAATAAAACAGACTATTGCCTTCATAATTGCATACATGAGAGCTGCCTGCTCTTGTGATGAGCCTGCTGGGAAAGTGCTGTTTTGTTTGGAGCACATGTGAATGGCAGAAAAAAAAACTAAATTTATAAGCTACACCATTTATTTATTGTTTTATTCATTCGCTTGGCAAGTTAGGCACTATGATTAGACTGCGGAGCAGGGCTTTTTAGATGAAAGCACAAGTAAAAAGAGTAACAAATAAAAACTCCCGCTGACTCTTGTTGTTCCTGTCGGCATGTGAAGTTATTCAAAGCCTAAATGAAGTGGATCCATACTGACCGTCTTGCTCAGAAACCCAGTGATATAAGCTTATGAACACACGACATACAGAGAATAAAGATACTTCATTTTGAAAGCTCTGTTTCAAAAGAAGTCTATCATGTCACTTCATCTGTAAACGGGCTTGCAGCCGTTCCAGGCGCTGCCACAGGGCCCCATTGTGCCTCTGCCAAGCTGTGACAGGGCCCCATCCAACTTCTCACCTGCAGCATTGTCCACCGGAGAGCTCAGTGCGGAGTAATTGGGACTGGAGCCGAGATTCCAGGACAAGTTTCTTTTTGTCCATTTTGAGGGAATCATTGACCCGGACGTGTGAGGTCACAGCTGTGGTAATTGGGGCTGTGTGATGCAGCTGTGTGTGTATCTGTGTATGTGTGTGTACAGTACAGTCTTTGAACATTTGTTCTGAATTACACTGGTTGTGTATGGAAAGTATTAGCAATGCGTGTTCTCCTGTTTCAGGCTAGTGTGTGTTCCTACTCTGTCCCTGAGCTACAAAGGCATGAGCTCTAAAACTGAGCGCCTTTGTTCGACCACTCAAAGAAAGTTAGTGCTCTGTGTACCACACAATCACAGCTTTATCTATCGAGAAGTGGCAACAACCAGTATTCAGACTATGAGAAATAGCACTATGTGAAAAAGGGGGAGATCAAAAATCAGCTCGGCTCTTGGCTAAACTGCTTCCACTGCACATACAGATTGTCACTCTGCATGAAGCAACACTCACAGCAGTGGCACTCTGGATTAAGGTTAGGAGTATAAATAAACAGGAAAACTGCAGGACACACTCAAAACCATTCCCCATAAGCTGGGGACAGAAAATGTCAACATTGATTCTGATAGGTGCTTTGTTCATTCAGCTGTTATCGGCTATTCCTCTGTAATAGGCCTACCCTGAAAACAATGACCATATCCAAAACTATCTTCCTTTCTTTTCAATATGGTCTTAGCTACAATCATTTTATGGATGTATCTAGCCTTTCTTATGTTGGTGCATTTTTACATTTAGTGGAAAAGTGTAAGATCAACATCAGGGTGTGAATCATATCGCGCTAGCCAGAGCTATGGACTTGACTCACATGATTTGATTACTGAAGACACCTGACAAAGTAAAAAAGAACCGCAACTCAACCTTGTATCCAACAACAATGACTCGCTTCTTCCCTTGGACTTGCTCCATTTGACCTAAAAACACTTGATACATTTCCTCAAGCCCAAAGATTATAAAGTATGTTATTTAAAAAGTGTGCCACGAATCAATTAATTTTCCTGAATCAATTAAAGCTAACACTATTCTTTCCGCGCTAGTTGACACTTAGCTCCCTAGATCCACTTTGTTTGAACCACCCTCACATCATCCAATCTATACTTGCAGGAGAGAGCTATGCAATATACATAGTAATATACATTACAACATTTAAAAATTGGCGAATGCAAGAGCCGATCCAAAATAACTTTTGGTTAGTTCGGGATTTTTTACTTGACTTGGGACTTGCAAAACAATGACTTGGTACAACCTTTGACATGCACAATACAAAACATGATTTCATAAACACAAGTGGTCATAAACTCAGAAAGCAATTTGACATTTTTGGCACACGTATTTGAATCATTATGACGAAATCATATAAATCTGGCGTTCCCCCTCTGATAAAGACTTCAGGTTTATAAAATATAATTATATGTCATTTATTTGTGCATGAGTGTTTACTCTCTTTATCTCTTCAATAATTTCCTTAGAGGAATCGTAGATTCCAACAGATAAAGAGATCAATGCAAATTAAATTACAAATATTCATGAAAACACAAGATTATCAATGTCTGATAAGAATGGACACTTGGAAGCCCTTGTGGTTAAAATCATGTTCAAAAATCGAATTGACAAAACAATGAAATCAAAGATTATATGTTGACATTGTAAACTTTTGGACCTGGAAACGGTGACCTCCATTTGGCCCTAGAGGTGAAACCCCATCCCAGGTCATCGGCCTGAACCCCGACTGACCAGCTGTCAGTCTGCACACCGCCCAGGAGTCCTCCGCCTGCTGTCGTTTCCACGGTCACAGCCCCGGGACGCAACCACCTGTCATGACCTCAGGGTTCACTCACTGTAATGCAATAGTCACTAACAGTGAGGCATCAATCTTGGAGGATTTAGCAGTTTAAAGCCAGTTAAATTTTGCTCGAGCTCTCTAGTAGTGCAGCATGATCTGTCCAAAATCCCTCATTGGGAGACAGAGACATGTTTTCCCAGACCTAGACTAATCCTCTTTACAATTCAGAATCTGGTTTTAACAAACAGACTTTGCTCAAGTCTGGGCCAATTTACAAAGTTCAGACCCAGGTCATTGCCATCGACACACAATCTAGCTGTATTAAAAATAAATGAAGGAAAGTATTTGAAATTCAAAAATCAAATTCCCATGTCAAGATTAGTAATTATACTTGAATGTACTCACCCATAGTAGTAAGTGGTTTTCAATATTAAGGAATGCTTTTTTGGGAAGAATTAATAAAAATGACAGCTCAAGGATAATCTAAATAAGGAACATTTATTTATTTTCCTACTAATCCCTTTTTTTCGCAGCAGAGACCCCAACCTATTTACTCTGCTTAACAGAGATTAATTGATCAGATAATTCTTACATAAATGGATAACTTTCAAAGATAACAATAGAGTTTCTGTTTGAAAGAAAAATGCAAAATGTGGTTACTAGATTCCAGTCAACGATTGTTACTGTTACATGTTAAAGTAGAACTATAATTGTAACTGTTTTGAGTTTTAAAATATTGAAAATTAAGTATGCAGAGCTTTAAAACACCTGTGTTTCTTGTATACAAAACTTCCGAAACAGACTTCATAGTGTTAGTGTATAATATAGAAGTGGAAGACAGTATCAGTCGATGAACGACACAGGGTCTCCCAGCCAGTCCTCCAGGGACAGCTCTGTGACCTTTTCACTTACGATGTGTGTGGCGGCACAAGTAACACGACTTGTTCTGGCAGAACTCTGTGATGCCCTCCAGGCTGGACACCAGCATGTGGTCCATGTGTGACGTACACACACACACACACACACACACACACACACACACACACACACACACACACACACACACACACACACACACACACACACTCTCCCTTTCTTTACATACAGCTTTCCATTTTACTCAAATTCTTCCCATCTCTGTTTCTCTCAGCTGATGTGCCTTCCGTTTGACCCAGGATGTGGGCAGTCAGGTGGCAAACTACAAAAACAAGACGCTGTATTATTATTTTTCACTTTTTGTTCGAGCATTCAAATTACTGTCTTAGCCTCGATCAAACCAAATTAATGAAACATTGCTTTTTCTGTGATTATGGAAATTTGATTTGATTTGGCAAATAAAAAAAATTGAGTAAAACGCACCTGTAATATGTAGTGGAACATGTCATAAATATGTAAATAAATATATTTTATTAAATTAAATATTTTTTGTGTACATATACACACATACATATAATAGCATGGGAAATGGGGCTTGCAATTAGTAGCAAAGTGAAATTATTTGCAGCTGTTAGCACTTATCTGCCTGTTGCACAAATAGTTTGGTTAATTTGAGCCTTTTTGTTTCCTATGTTTTTTCTCTGATTTGTCCTATTTCAGTACATATGGCAAACAGCTTGTCACCAAAAGCCAGACATTTTCATTTTTTGGCTTAAATTGACTCAACATTAATCCTTTTTTTTCAGGTCATTTATTCACATCTTATAAATAAACTTGAAAGCTTTTGTTTTTGGTTTTTACGATTGGAATTTTGATGAGGACATGCAGTACTTTTTTCTGCTTGACTAGCATGTGCCGTGAGCCTGATGACCGTTATGGCTGCTAAAATTTAATCAGAAACCCCTTTGTCTCTCATTACAGGAAAACGATGACCTATTTCAGCAGCTGACCTCAAACAAAGTGGTGCAGAGAGTGTCGGGACTCGATTTGAGAGCCTTATTTGTGGGCAGTGCCTCGCAAAGTGGCTGACCTGACCTGACTGACAAAATTAAAACCAAATCACATTAAAATGCTGTGAAACATACAATTCCATTGAGGCACACACTGTCTAAGACACTTCATTTAACTTTGCATTGCATTATGAGAAGTAGTATTTCTCTTATTATAAATCTAAGGATGAACCTGAACACCCCGAGTACCGGTTTTCATGTTTTCCTCAGTTATTCTGTTCATGTTTATACAATCTGTCTGGCATATGCACTGTATAACTAATTGCTTAATGTGCAATGACGAGCATTATTATTTCCCAGCAGCTGTTTCCTGTCTGTGTTTTGCAAAGTGCTGCTAGCTGAGAATGAAATGAATGAAGGTAAGGCAAAAGATTTAGTTTTAGAAAAATCTCCAACAAATTAATTGAATCACTTTAATTGACCAGATGTTTTTGCGAGTATATCAGATAAATGAATGAACTCCATTTGAATGTTAAGCTTTGGAGATTAACTATCAATTTCCTGATATTTTATGAGTCATGCTGCGTGTTTTTTGTTTTGTTTTTGTTGACAGAATGACCTCCCCTATGTTGCTTTTAGCTGAATTTTATCACCAGCGTTGTGGTTGGAGACGAAAATCCCCAGTGGAAGAACAACTCAATAAGCAACTGCTCCAGTAAGTACTAAAGTGAACTGTTTTTGTTCCGGCTTCACCAAATCCCAACCAATGTCACGGCGGGCTTTGCTGTGATATACAGTGTGTGTTTGCTCGCTGTGTTCCCCCCTCATGCCTTCACCCCATGCCTGTCTGCTCTGATGAGGCGCAGCTTGTTAAGCCAGCCCATTGGCTTTGATCCAAGATGGATAATGCCAGATTGAAGAGGTTAGAGGCAGGGTAAGAGTTTACCACATGATACAGCCAGGACGTGACACAGTACAAAACAAACCAATCACACGTTATTGGCTTAGTTAAGAAGAGATGCTTTCACTACCAATATGTTGCACTGTCTGAGTATTTGTAAGAATGTTGACAGTATAAAAGGGTTTACTATATATTCTTAAGCATGATATATCCAATAAGAAATGTGTCTACACACATCGTACCATGTATATCATATGTAAAAAAGAATTCAGCTGATAATGATTTCATACGGTTTTATCATCAGTGTGCTCATTCACAAATTACATTCACAAAATATAAAAATACATTTCCTTTTAGTTTCAGCAATTAGTTTTGAATTTTGAATTTCCCCTAAGGCTATAGCAGTTTATGTTATGACTCTCTGCTATTGCTTGCTGATAGTGTTGAATGAAGTTAGGACTCTTAAATTGTAAACATGTGTTTTTTTTAGCTATTTCAATTTGTATCATATCTCTTGGCCTTAGGTTACATTAACCATCTGAAGCCAGTAGATGAATGGCTCACTTTAAATTATAAGTTTGGTACTTTTTGAACAATGGATAATTTAGTGTGGAGTAGAGTATGAAATCAAAAAAGGACTTTTTGAGGATGAACTTTTCAAACAGCTCACTCATACAGAATCATTAAAGTAGTTTATCCACAGGGATATACAGGAAGTTATTACTATGAGTGACTCTATGCAGAGGCAGCTTTTTGCATAGTTGGAGCAAACTATGGGCTCAGCAATGGCACCTGGCGATGAAACCATCTTATCAGAACACAAGCTCTGCTGCCGCTGCTCTTTGGCTCCCGCCGCGATATCGTATTGCTGAGTCTCACTTTGCATGAGAAATCGAAGTGCAATCCCGTTCTTTATGGCCACTGCCTGCGACCTTTGTCAACCCAGCGAATTAACCTAGAGGCGTATCAGCCACGCTGGCCCTTTTCTCCCAGAGCCTGTCCTATTAACTGAGTGAGGAGCACGGTGCGGGTCACACTTAAGTAACCTTATCTTGTAATTGGGTTCAAGGTTAAGTGACCCTGGAGCACGGAGGTCCGGGGGTTAAGGTCACAATGTCAGGCAGAAGGGGGAGCTTTTAATCACTGATGGGGCTGGAAATCAAGGTCCGGGCTTCTGCTATCTGGCTAGGCCAGACCCGCCCACCCCCATCTCCCCCAGCGTCATCCACATCCCACGTGAAGCTGTCTGTGTAGGCTGGAACAAGGTGGGGTTAAGGGGGTCGGATGAAACAGTTGCCAGGCAACCATTATTAAAGCCAAGGTCTTGCAAGCTTTTAACCTTAGCACAAATCGATATAGATGGCAATTGGGCTAATATTCATCGAGCAGATGGGAAAATTAGGTGCAAGTCTGCCTGCTGGAGATAGAGGAGAGGAGCGCTGTTAGTCTGACGGGCGCAGCATCACTCAGAGTCCTCCATGAGTGTATGCACAGTGAGGGAAGGCTCTGAATACTGGGGAAAGGATGACAGGGAAATAGCTGTGACAAGCCATTTAATGAAGCACGATTGGTCAGACCATTCTTCCTCTCCTGAGAAAGCTTTCTTCTATTCATCATGCATATCACTTCACCTGTCCTTTTTATCATCTCACTCATTGCCTGTAGCCTTTCATCTTTCTCTTTCTTTCTTTCACCCCTTCCTCTTCTGAATCTGTATCAAAGCATTATTTTTGTTTATTATTTTTTTCGGTTAGAAATGTATAGTTTGTTCCATGACAACATATGCACATATCAGCAAGAATTTGAGATAATCATAAGCTTTAGCAGTCTTATTATGTAGTGTAAAACATAAAGGATTTGTGGCTATAGCGACAATGGTAAATAAAAACAAGATGAATAGTTTTACATTTATCCTTAAGGAAAAATACATCCCAACGTTCCATGCAAGAGAGCAATCTTTTAATTTCTCACAACTGCCCTACCTTCCCCCTCTCTCCCTCCCTGTCTTTTAGAGAGGGAGATGGATGACCACTGGTGGAGGGGTTCAGGCAGCATGACCCATAGACCTATCCATTGCCAAGGGCGAGGAAATAGCCCAGATTAAAGAGCTTGTAAATAATGGCCCATAAACATCTGCCTGTTAGCCAGGCCAATCCATCTCAGTCTCCATCTGGTCCTCTCTTTCTCTCGCGCTCTCCCGCTTTTGATTTCCTCATTGCGAACGGTCCACAGGGCAAATGCATCATCAGACCAAAGTCAGTCATATTCCAACACAAACAAACGCGGAGATTGACCCCCAGGTCGTGTACAGTTCAAATCCCCACCAGTCACTGCATCCATGACTCAATCCAAAGACAACAAAGGGAAACATTAGCTTTGTTTTCTTTCCTTGGGCTCCTTTCATTTATAAAAACCCCAGTGTATATTGCTTTGTTAGATTAGCATAAGGTAAAAGTGATTGTATGTGCGTATTTACGTACAAACAAAGTCATGAATACCCCTAATTATTGTTGCATTATGACAGTCCGCCCTCCTGAGTCGAACCTTCATGGGGCTCTTGTTAGCCTCATCACAGCCCCTCCCTAATTAGTAATTAGGCGTTGTTAATGTCGGGTCCGAACATCTGCTCTGGCCACTTGCACTCCCTCAGATCGCCTGTGAATAGACCTCTGGCCGTGATATTAACCACCTCAGTCGAGGCCTGACTGCAGGTGGCCAATTCAACCAAAGAAAAGGGCCGATTGCAGGCAGACTGAACTCTGGCCAACAAGCCTCATGTACGCTAAATACTTTGATTTCACATTAAGTTATCAATGAAAATACAAAGCTGAAGATTAAGGGGAAGTATGTGTGATTCAAATGTACATACAAAGTAAAACCTATCCATGCAGTCTTAATGTGCATGCTCATAACTTATGCAGTTATGTGCTTACCTTGGCAAAGCAGCACTTGGGAGGGAAGGGAGTGGTTTGGAAGTAATTGTTATTTGCTACGCATGCAAAATTGAAAATGAGTGAAATGCAAGCTCAGAGAATCATCAAATAATGTATTGATCTCATTGCACTTCTTAATTGTAGAAGTAGCAATCTCGTACATTTTTGTAATAGCTCAGCAGTAACCACTAACATGTGACTCTGTGTTACATGTCATGTATACCAAGCATCAACTCTAGGTTTTTTTCTTCTGGAAAACTGATATCTGAAGGTGAAT